TGAGGTGACTCCTGATGAAAGGTTCTTTGTGCTGGAACTTATTTAGGTGTATAGGATTAGGTGTAAAGAGAGCAAAAAACAAATACACATCGTACTTTTAACATTTACATTTGTATTTTTGCCATTTACTGTATAGCAGCTTCCTTCCACTTTATGCTTTTGTGATATATGGTATTTGTTTACCACTTAAATCACAGTGAAATACATGGAAGCATTTGGTTTTGATGTGAAAATAATCTGAAGCGGTTTCAAGTGTGTGAAAACTTTTGCAAGGTATGCAATGGGTAAATGACCTAGGACAGCTGCTGTGCTGACAACCTTCTAAAAAGAGAAGTTCATATTTACAGCATAACAGATATGAAAGACTAATTTGCATCTCAGCTCACTCCACTCTAAGTACATATAAAAGAGCTTTAAAGGGAGTTATGGGGGCATATAACTGTGAATTTCACTGCTTGTTAAAGATTTCCCAAGTTACCACTTCGTGGTTATTTCTGTTACCGATGCACGACGGTTCTTGATTTAGTGCCGTGTGAAGGATCAAAGATCACAAGTGTGCAGCATAAATATGCAGCCTCACCCTGAATGTAGTGGAGTTGCTCTGCATTCCTTTAAGTGATTTAATGATTAGCATTGCAGTGAAAGGCATGTGCATATCTCATCAAACCTGTTTCTCAGAAACATGATCAATGCACATATTACTTGATCGTTAACAAATGTAGCCTCTGTTTATATTCATCGTGACATGGCTTAAACATGTAAGAATCAGGAGAACATAAACTCTGTTTGATTGGCTTCCTCAAACTATTAGTTGCATCTGAAATGTTTTGTAAAACACTCACCAAGATAGGTTTTTTGGCATAAATTCAAAACTGCTCATGCACCAAAAACACATAAAGTTAATGTTATTTGTATTTTTATCCATAATAAGACATACACAACTATGGAACCAAAGGGAAGAGAAAAGCTCAATCTAATTTTCTCACCGCTGGAGCGTATTAATAAGCAAAAGTCGTTTGGTGATTTTGTTCTGTGAGAGAAGAAATCCAACTGGGACTTTTCAGGATGGTGTAAAAGAATACCATACCTAAAGTAAAGCACAGCAGTGGCTTAGTGTTGCTTTAGGGCTGTTTTGTTTCCTAAGTCTAACTCTAGAGGCCTACAGTGAGTGGAGGGCAACATGCATTCACTTAATTAAGCATCAGGAAATCCTGGGAGAAAATGTCCTGCTGCCTGTAAGAAAGCTGAAGTTTGGGATTTGTCGGACCTTCAAAGAGAACAACAATCCCAAGCGCATCTCAAAGTTCACATAGTTTCAGAGAAAGTCCTTAAAGTTTTAGGAAGATTTTAAAATGGGTGCTTGTAGGCCACAAATGGATAAATATTACAGGCCTTTTTCCACCGGGAGTTTGTTAATATTTGCTAGCGGAAGCTGCGACTTGTGTCTGCAGTTGCTTCACATTTGTATCAGGCTGTAACCACAAAAAATGTCAATTTACAAAGGTTCACATATGTTAAATATGTTTTGTGAACAGGTAGAGTAATTTTAACACAGCAGTGTGCAATAAAAGTTTTTTTTTGTTTTTTGACATTTTTGAAGTGAATCACACAATAAGCGAAAATAAAATCTGAATCCTAATAAGATACAGACTGGCTTTAGACCTTATCTCAAGGTTTTCGACTCTGCTGCTTAAAGCTTTGAAAAGCAGGTTTGCCATTGAAGTCACAGTGAGCGTGGCCCTAAAAATAGTTTGGGTGTGGAATAAGGGAGCAGGGAAGGTTGTTTGGTAAGGCAGCAGCTGTTTGATCTTTCTTTGGTGAGAGGGCGAGACAGTGGTTAGGTGAGAGGCCCAGGGCAGAGAGCGGAGTGGAAGCTGCCATTGGGTTGGAGGATAAAGATGGACAGACAGAAACATAGATGCACCACTTCCTGTGTTGCCAAAACACAGGAACCAAAAGGATTTCTCCCTTCACCTGACATCTCAAAACTATTCATGTGTTGTTGTTGTTGTTGTTTTTTTTAGAATAAAAGAAGAGAAGTAGCCGCTTCCAGGACGGAGGATGATGTATGGGCGTGATGAGATATTTCAGCAGTGAGGCACACTGGGGGACTAAACCGAGCAACAAATACCTCACCAACTTAACCGAGCTGGACAAGAAAACCAGGAAGCAGAAATAGAAATATTATGTGTAAAGCACGCCCTTCTTGTGGTGGCCAGAGCTGCAACGCACAAAGTAAAACTGGGTGCAAAGCAAATAGATGGTTCGCAGTGTACATGGACGCAGTTGTGGACTGTGAAAACCACCCTGGAGAAGTTTGTGGCAGTCTTCTAAACTTTTAAAATAAGTCGGGTGTTTTTACAGGGCTTGAGGTTTGGCAAGAAGAATACCAATGTGTCAATACAGAGCAGTTGCTTGCTGTGAATATAGATTTTAGCCAACTTCAAATGCCTTCCATACCCACTAAACCCTCATTTTGAAGGTCATTAAACAGAAGCCATTCAAAATAATTTAAACTGTAATCAAGCGTAACAGTTTTTTATTAGCCGGTAGATCCCGTACACCACATGATAGGATTTCTAAAAGATTTACATTTGCATTATCGTGTATAAAACTGCCTCAGATTCAACTGTTAACACTTTTTTCCAACTTAAATTATTAATTGAAATGATCCTTTAATGTGTTTCTCACTTAAAGTATTTAGCTGGGCCTGAGCACAGTGCTAAAATGAAACAAGCAGCCTGAGCTTCTTAACTCCCATGCAGTCGATTAAAAAGTTCATTTTATCTTCGGTTCTTTGGAAGAAAGTTCTTTACATCCTGCCTTGTTAGAATAGCTTTAAAAAATGTTTTACGTTGATGAATCATGTGACTGTTTTGTACCAAAAACTAGGCTGAAGGTCAGAGGAGATCAGGCCTTTTTTGTGAGATTGTTAAACAATTTGAACATTAGACAAGCTTCTTTTCTGTTTTTTTTTTCTAGATCTCTCTTTAAAACACTTATTTTCAGTGCTTATTGTTTTTTGGGGTTTTTTTAAGGTTTTCTTCAGGTTTATTAACCTTTATTGAACAGGAGTCAGAAAGGACAATTGGTTATGAGAGGGGGAAGACATGTGGCAAAGACCTCTGACTATGGTTTGCCCCTTTACCCCTGCACCACAGTCGCAGCCCGTCAGTGGCTTTTGACACATAAGTTGTTTTCTGTTTTATAATTCTGTAGTTTTTTTTAAGTACTTCTTATTCTGCTTTTTTTTATGTTTTAATTTTATTATTATAAGATTTCATATTTTCTTGGTTTTATCTGCCCCAACTGTATGGCACTTTTTTGTAAACAAATGCTTTGGGTGTTTTTTAATGTCCTTTATAAATAAACAATGAAGTGAAATAGGAAGGAATCTAATTGTGCTTAATGTTCGTGACCATTTTTATTTGTTTTGCATTGGGTTTTTTTTTTATGTCTGTGCTAAAGGTCACTTAGTGACATTCTTTCAGTGTCACACAATCCAGAAAGCCTGTTTTTAGGTGTGACCTGTGACAGGAAAAACCGCTGTTGGGACCAGCGCCGACTATGACGCCACAGGGATTCAGATGTCCAAAGTCGGTTCCCTGAAAGAGACAACAGCAATCCCTGGTGGTTCTGGAACCAAAGGCTGGTGAATCCAGGTATTTACAAGACCTTGAATTCCTCCTTCCTGTTTCTATTCCCACACAAGATTAAGGGAAAATTAGGCTCAGAATTAGCTTAGACCTAGCCTGGTAAAAACCAGCCCGTTGTTCTACACTTTGCTTCATCAAGAGGATCTGGACTCTCAGAATCAATTGCTTTCTGAAGGCATGACCTGTGTTGAGGTTTTAAATTTTATCCAAACACCAATGTTTGCCTGTGATGTATGTAACGTCCCACTTTGACAATAAGAAGCTAACCGGAAATTGCCTGCGCTGTAAGCAACTCTCCTCCTCTGTGAAGAGAGAAGTACCGGTCAGAACGGGGAGACTGTTAAAGTTTACTCAATATTTGGAAGAGCAGCCAACGCGGATTGAACAGCTTCGTTCACTTCCTTCGCCGCCATTGTGAAAACTACAGTCGGACTACAATTCTAAAACAGTGCAGGAAATGGAAGTCATTGTTCTCAACTTCTGTTTCTGTTTGCTGTCTGGCCTTGTCAAAAATCAACTGGAGACAATCCAAGTCAAGGGGAGAAAGCCCACTGTGCTGAAAGCAAGAAGAGTGGATGTCTGGTAATGGAAAGATGGCCTCCGATGCAGATCTCCGAGGCTTGCCACTCTCATTCTCTCAGCTCAACAAAAACAACTCATTCTTCGATGCTCCATAGAGCTGCCTCTGGATATTGCAGTTAGTTCCCTTATGATGTACAGAGAAGTGTGCACCTTTTGGATCACAGCTGGTCATTAGCATATAATTATTTTTTCTTTTCCCAGTTTTGGGGAAAAACACACAAATGAAAAAAGGAACATTTGAAAAGAACAAATGAAAAAGGAAAATTGGAAAAGGATAAATGAAAAAGAAATCAATGAAAAATAAATTTAAAAGAATAAGTAAAAAAAATGATAAAAGAAAATGAGAAAATGAAAATTAAAAATTGGAAAAGGATGAATGAAAATGAAAAAAACAGAAAAGAAATGAAAAAGGGAAATTGAAAAAAGATAAGTGAAAATGGAAAACGGGGCAGAAATAAAACTGGGAATAAATGTATGAATAAATATCAATGGGAATAAAGATGCCAATTGCTCAATAATTTTACCCTTTTTTTATTTTTACTCATTCCTTCATTTTCTGTTTTTATTTAATTTTGGCTGAAATGGCTCTCCATATAAGCTCAGTTTCGAAGTTTAAAATAAAATCTCCCTTCAAGTCTTACGACATCCACAAGAGGGAGCTGTTGAGTAAATGTAAATGTCCCTTCGTGTCGTTGCCGCCCCGCCCCCTCCTGTCTCTGTCGTCGTGCATTATGTGGAAAAAGAAAAGCTCACAGTGCCAACTCACACTTCATCGTTTTATTCTTCAGAATTCACAGGAAACAAACTCAACACCTTGTTACCAGTTTTTGCAGGCAATGTTACATTCCGTACTGAAAAAATGTGAGCCTCGTTATATACAGAAAGAGAAGCCGGTAGAGGACAGCGTCTGAAATCCTGACTTTGTGTGCTTTTGACTTGTGGATTCAGAGTGGTGTTGCAGTCATCACAGCATGATGCAAAAGTCTGCTTAAAACATCTCCCAATTTTATTCAATCTTACAAATGGTGAAAAAAAAAGAAAGAAAAAAGAAAAACTTCATTTACAATGGGTAATCAGTTAAAAACTTCAGTCATTAGGTACATCTCAGCCATAAAACCAGTAATATCAAAGTCTATACAACGTGCATCACTACAGGATTTTGAAACGGTGGAGTCTAATGGAAAGTGGTGAGCACCAATCATCGTTTTGACGGCTAAATCTATTTCAGGAATGGTTTGTGTTCACAGGAGCGTTGAGCTTAGAGAGTTGTAAACAACTGTACACTGCAATGACAACTTAAGACTCGCTTAAGGACCTCCCCTTTAAATATCACACTGTGTCAGACCTTGCAGAGACAGCTTGAGCTGCTACATCCAATTGCCCAGCACCAAATACTTTGATTAAATATATGGAAATAAAAAAAGATTCAGTAATGTTGTGATGGTATCACCTTAATAAAAAAAATAATAAATCCACTCACATTATGCACTTTCACACTCACCCATGTTACAAATGCAAGCACCAAGAAGCAGTGAGGAGCATCGCTCTCTGCTGCACCTCCTGTCCATCACTGCTTGGGACTTTGCAGTCATTATGGATGAGATGGTTGTAGAGTAGTAAACATATACGACAAAAAAAAAACAACAAAAGAGAAAATTAACAAAAAAAAAAATTCCCTGGTTTTAGACAAGTCCTCGAGTTCCTTCAGACAGGCTACATCGTCTCCTTCATTCTGGTGCGTTGTTCAGCAGGGGTTACTCGGTGACGGCGGTGGCCTCCGGACTGGCTGCCGTCTCTGGCTCGGTTGGAGAAGCTTTGGCCGGCTTCTCTTCTCCTTCAGCTGCTTGCTCGGCCTTCGGCTCCTCCGCCTTCGCCTCTTCGGCTGCGGTCTCCTTGATTTCCCCTCCGCTCCCCTCAGCCGGCTCGGCCTCCTCGGCGGGGGCCTCGGTGGATTTCTCACCTTCGGCCGGGTCTGCAGCAGCGGCCGCCCCCTCCTCAGATGCCTCTTCGGACTCCTTCTTGGTCTTTTTGAAGGAGAAGCCGCTGAGCTTGAAGGAGGGCTTCTTGAAAGAGAAACGCTTTTTCTTCTGCTTGCCGTCCTCGCTGGTGGACGGGGTACCTTCCTCCGGCTTGGCAGAGGTCTCCCCGTTTGTGGTGGATGCCTCCTTGTCTCCTTGGGCCTCGGCGTCCTCTACTTTTTCGCCTTCTTCTTTTGGCACCTCTTCAGTGGGTGCTTTTTGGCCTCGGTGTGCATCTCCAGTCTTGTTGCCCGGCTTCTCTAGAAAGAGGTCAAAAAGGTCCAAATCATGGCGTTATTTAAGATTTGTGTTGGGACCGTCTTGACATTAGTGAGGACAACACTGGAAAAACTTCTTTGTAAACGGTATCAACGGGATACCGTTGGATTTAACCAAATTCCAAAACTAGAAATATTCAAAAGAAGCTACCCACACAGCCCTCCAAAGGAAAAGGAAAATTGCACAGACATCTGTTACTAGGAGAATGACGACACACGTCTAGCTTTCAGCAGTAGGCTCGGGTTTTTAAACTGCAATAAAGCCGGGACACCACTAGAGGGCGTTCAGTCTGTAGAAACAACATAGGAATTTGGGATTAAAAAAAAAATTCTACCATAAACCAGCTAAATCGATATGCACTAACCAAATCTCTGAGCGCTTCATACATTTCGACCGTAGTGCTATTTGAGTTTATTGAGTCTAAGGTTCATTTATGCAACAAAAAAACAAAACAAAAAGCGTTTCTTTTCTTGAACCTGGCAACAAAGGCGTGGTACCGATTTTTAAAATGGCCATGCCACGGTGAGGGGCGACCACAGACCCCTGCTGCACAGTCCCAAAAAAAACAACGCACATCCACTCAAACCATGCAAAATAAACTCTCACAAACCCGTCTTCTGCACATTTAAAGAAAAAAAATTAATAAATTATAAATAATCAAAATGCGTTCAAAGCTGCACAAGACGCCGACTTTCAGAACCAATTAAAAAGCATCCCGATGAAATCCCGGGTCTGGACCGGGTTTTTGTCAAACAACCGAACGGCAGCGTGGAAGAACATATAGGCGCATGTGGCCACTTTCCCTGAATGCCGGTGAGCGTGGGGATGCGCCACGGGGGGGAACATGGAGCACGCCATTGACGCAACACATTGCTAAATTGAGGCGAAATTCCGCGCGGGGCAATTAAGGATTTAATAATTCAGGGCGGCTCGTTTACCTGTCCGTTCGCCTTCGACGCAACAGCCGCTCCTTCTGCGGGCTTTTCCGCCGCGGCCTCGTCTTTCCCGGCGGTTTTGGAGATTTGCGCTCCCATGCTTTTTTTTTTTTTTTGTTCCAACAAAGGAACCCGACCGATCAAATGAATGAACAAAAGACCGCAAGCTTCCTCCCGAAACGAAATTCAAGGCACGCCGCTCTGCCTTCTTTGCGCGAAACAAACCGAGAAATAAGCCTGAAATGTCCCCCCCCAAAAAAAATCAGACCGCAATGAGAGTAATGAGCACTTGGGGGGAGAAAATGTAACGAAGGCGCAAAAGAAATCCGGGTTTTTTTTCTTTTTTTCTCTCTCTCTCTTTTTTTTTTCCTCGAGCAGAGTTTGTAGATGGGGAGAAATTGGCCCCGCCGCAAATGAGATGCGGAGTACAACGCCCAAGTCCGCTGATGAATGGGCGCCGAGGCTGTGACGACAAAAAAAAGCCCCCGCGTCTCCGCCAATCACGAGCCTGGAACGTAAAGCGGGGCGGGTGCTGAGAGGGTAGGGGTCGTGCAGCGGGGAGGGGGGACGCGGACAATGGGAGAGACACAACAACATGGCCTACAACTTTGTGGATCCACGTTAGAGCGGGGAGACGGGACCGTTTTCCGCCGGGCTCTTTACTCTGAGCATCTGATGTGGAGGCTGATTTGGAAACGTAGATATTTTTGGGAACGCTGCAAGAAAAGATATGCATTTACAATTTTTTGGGGGGGTGTTGTTTTTTTTGTTTTTTTTACTGATATTCTTTTTTTTTTCCCCTCTGCAGGAAAAGCAACAAATTTTCTTTTTTGTACATTTTATTTTAGCTAATCCCATTGAGGATGTTTTCTTCTTTAATAATTTTTTTTTCAAATCAATATTTTTTTTTAAAGATTGGATCGCCCCTAGACAAACGAATGCGATCGATATATCTTTTTACGTACACAAACAGTTATTTTTCTCACCATCTGACAACAAATCAGACCACACATCTCTTCTAATTATTATTCATATTTTTGAAATGCCAACAAATTTCACGCGACAGCTGTTTTGTTTGCCTGCTTCATATTCAGGAGTTTGGGGAACAATTTGGAGAAGCTAAGGTGATGATGTCATGACTTTTGTGAACATTTTGAGTGGATAAGGGAGAAACTTGGTATGTATTTTAAGGCGACAAATTATATTTATTCCCTTTCAGACGATGCGGGCCGCAGGACCGCTCTGAAAAGACCAAACACCAAAAATAACAACAGAACAGGCGTGGTTAGAAGTTTGCAAATGCACTCAGGATGATAGTTCTTAAAATAAGTCATCATGTGGTCTGATCAAACTAGAATTTAAGTGTTTGGTCATAATGTCCGCTGTTATATTTGGAGGGGGAAAGAGGAAACCCTGCAGGCCTGAAAAAACATCCAAACTGGAAATTATGAATCTAGAGTCATCTTATTACGGGGGAGTTTAAATGCTTTGGTGCTCTCCACAAAATAAAATAGATGGCATCGTGAGGAAGGAAAATTATTTTTTGAAATATTGAAGCTGCATCCCAGGACATCAACCAGGAAGTAAAAAGCCACAAGCAGAGCTTTCAAATGGAAAATGACCATTTGCTACAAAGTGGCTTGAGGAACATCAAAGTCAATGTTTTGGAGTGGTCATCAAAAATCTTGTTTCTTCTCCCTGGAAGTCATGTTACTGAGAGAGAGGCTTTCCTGAAGGTCTCAGAGATCATTAAAAATAATAAGTGGCTAAAGGTAAAAAAAAAAATTAAATAAAAAAGGAAATCAGTGGAGACATACAAACAAACTGGTCCGAAATTGGATGTATCATCTGAATATTGTCATAAAGGCTTTTCCACTGATGACTGTGAAGGGCATGAAATACGTTTACAAGCAATTTTTTTCGATCAAGTGAAAACAAAAGCAGACATGTCGTTTTCAGAAATAAACCTCCATCTTTAAATGTAGCCTTGTCCACTTCCATCCATTCACTTTGGTGGACTAATAGTAAATTAATATAATGTAGAAAACGCTGCAGAGCTTAATTATCCATTCCACAGCTCCCATTTTATTTGGAATGGAAGTTTCAATGTCTCTGAATCTGAATTGTTATGTGTGAAAACGACATCATTGTGTTTAGATGGTCTGTCTGCTGCTGTGTTATCAGGGCCCCCTCCTGACATATGCCCCTCTGAGTAAACAGACCTCCCCTGTAACTATAAGCCCCTGCACCCATAACATCCCTCGTCGCTCCTCTTGCATAATAGTGTCTTGTCTGCTTGTTGCAGCTGGAGCATCCCAGTGACCCAGATATAATGAGACTTTATGGCTCTGCTGTCTGCTCCGCCAGCCTGCAGCGCTCCAGCTCCACCAGCAGCAACAAATCTTTCTCTCTCTCTCTGCTATCACTGCCTGACCCATATCTCCATGGTTACCGGTCCAAAATGGCTGCGAGGAAGAAGCTGAGCACTGGCTGACAAGGTGCTTTAGCGACTGTGACCTCTGGTTGCGGAGGAGAGAACATGAGAGCGAAGTCGAAGGCTGCACAGCAAACACAGACGGAGGATTAAGGGTGACTCCTTTCACCCCCACCTCTCTTCTCCCGCTAACTAGGCCACCTTCATTGTTGCCATATTCTGATGACATGCAAAGCTATAATTATGATAAGGAGCAGCGAAGAATATGTAAACGTAGAGACAAAGGCATTGGGGCACGGACTGTTTTCAAACGGCAAGAAGATTAAACATTTAGTTCACTGAACTAAGAGTTCTTAAATGTAACGCTTCACACTCAATACAAAACATAGGAATTATTTCAAACCAATCAGGTTTTTTTATTTTTTTAAAGAGCCATAGACCTAAAAATAAAAAATGGGGCAGGTTGAGGACAAGAAAGAGCAACAAAGATCAAACCTGTAATCTGAAAATAAAATAATCCAAATCAAATTATGAGGTAAATGTTAAGGTCAGTGTCTGTGTTTTGAATAGCGGGTATCTAAGCCTCTTAATTCTGAAACTGATTACATTACGTGCCTTTTAAGATGATAAAATGACCTCTAGACACAAAAGATGATCTTTTGTTGTATCTGAACAAAACACCCCATGTAGCAGACATTATAATTTGAGTTGGAATAAATAACAATATTTTAAACCCATCAAGCTGATTTCCAAAAACATGAAGGTTGATGCATCTCTCTGTGTTTTGTTTTTTTGGAGGGTTTTGTTGTTGTTGTTTTTTTTCTCCCCCTTTTGAAAGTGGTTTTCATAAAAACATCAAATCTGATCTTTCACACACATTTCACTTTGAATAAAACAAACTCTTGTCCTACACTGACAGAGTCCTACATCCTCAAATGAATTTCATTGTCCGTTTCAATCGAACAATGAAAAGCTTGAGGTGCTTTTCCACACATCTTGTTCTTTGTGTCACGCCAAACACAACTGGAGTGTTTGTTGCTCAAAAGCTCAATGAGCTCGACATTTGTCTGGTTCATAATTGCTGTTTTGTAAAAGGGATAATTGGTCTAACTTTCAGTTTGGCGAGATTTTGACAATTGCCAAAACCTCCCTTATTAAGAAAAACGAACTTAAGACATTTAATTGCTTGTTCTCTTGTCTTCTACTTTGTCCGAAGAAACATTACTATTTAGTGATTCTGAAGTTCAAAATGGGCAGAGGCAGAGCTGACTTTGACAACAGTCCTTGAACGTGGCACACAGTGCAAGATTACTTTACGATCTGAATTATAACTCTTGCTACACTCTATGAATATGTCTTACTTGCACAACTTCTTAGTATAGCAGAAATGCTTAAATAGAGACTTGAGTCCATTTAGGAATGGACAGCAGATTATGGGTGGTTATTTGTGGAGTCAGACTCTAAAAGAGGACTACCAGGACAAAGAAATGGGGGCCACTTTCCAACTGACTTGGTGACATGTGTAGGCGGAAAACCACTGGGAAAGCTGTTTCTGCCCAAGCGTTAACATTATGACTGATTCGTTTTGTAAACTCCACCAGTTCGGCTTGTGACAATCACACAGCATGATACTGCCCTCCCCATGCTTCACAACTAGGCTGACATCTCCTCAAGACATGTTTCGAAAAAAAAATAAAAAATCTCAAGCTTCACTTGCAAGTCATAGTTTGGCTTGTTTGTTGCTTCAACACACATCTACACAGGGTCTTCTGCTTTTATTCTGGAGTTTATGTTTTTTAAGCAAATCGTGTTCTTTCACGGTATCTGCTTTCTTTCTGAACGGAAGAGTAAAAAATCCTTCCTTCACCGATTTCAAAATAAAAATAAAAATAAAATTAAAAAAACGGGAGGCCGCAGATAATATATGGAATAGCGCCCCCTTCACTTCCGGAGTGCAACGGTCCCATTAAAGTATGAGCCTGCCAGTGGTCCGTCCCCGCCCCTCTCTGTTTGCTGCAGCGAGGTCCTTCTCTGTTTTCCAGCATTCTCGTGGACGAGGAGGTGCCCCACTTGTGCCCACATTGTAAGCTCTCATTGGAGGAAAGCATCGTCAATCAAGGCGGCCTGACTTCGCATCAGCCTCCCGCAAAACAAAGCGCTTCAAAACAAATGGAGACAAACCGGAATTTAAAGCGGCGCTTCCCTACTTAAGACGAACAACAACGCAGATGTATGCTTTGAAAATAAATTGGGGCGCTTATCATTATGGGTCATTGCGACAAGTAATGAAGGGACATCCAGTAAGACGTGTGAAATTAAACGCATTTAAATAGAATATTCGCTTTCCTCCAGAAAGAGATGCTTTATTTTGAAAGTCCTCACCGGAAGAGCTCGACAGTGCAGTGGCTTGACAGACCTCTCACTCCGTCGTCATCATCCGAACACACGGCGGCGACAGGCTCTTCGGCAGGGACGAGTCTCCCCCTCTGTTCTCCCTCTGTGAGGAAAAAAAACAACACAGACAGAGGAGAGAGAAAAAAAAACATTACAAAAATTCCTTCACAAAACCTCAGCTGAAAACTCCGATGGATTGATTTGATTTTCTGCGGTAAGCCTGGTTTAGTTTTTTTACATCTTACAGCCGCCTCGTCCTCTGTTTTGCTCC